TGCTGAAGCTATCTTGGAATAGCTGCTTGTCTGTTCATATCTGATGCTGGTGTAATTTGCCTTAGCATACAAAACCAATGTAAATCTCACTGGGAATATGTGATCATCAAGGATCTGGGTTTTCTGTTTGCTATGGAAAAACACAGATTTTCTCCTTTAAAGGAGGGAAACCTGCAGCTTCCCATGTTTTTCCTTGCAAACTGGCAGAGTTCCAGCCTGCAAGGGGCTGCTTGGGGGTGGGGGGGGAGCAGGACATGGGGGCACCACGCGCATGTCTGTGCATGCATACATGCACATGGCCACCAATATAGCCAGGGAGCAGTAGAGATCAGCTCCTGCAGCTGCCTGCAAGTAAGTTTATGAGGGGTGGGGAGGAGGTAGAAGCAATGTGCGGAGGGGTGGGGATGCAAATTGAGTCCCCCATGGTGATGGAGGGAGTGGGGCAGGGCTGGCAGCTGGAACTAGGGCTGTGGGTGCTGCCCAGCTGAGGCAGTGCCCAGGACCCAGGGCTGGGGTGGGAATGCATGGCTGCAAGGCCTGGCTGGGGGAGCAGGACAGAGCCACATACCACTCATCCAAAGGGGATGGGGTGTGGGGGTGGCTCCCCAGTGTTGTATGCATTCCTGGGAAGGAGTCAGGCATCAGAAGTGAACTGTTGGGAGGGCATGTGCCGCCCCAGATTTGTGCACAGGGCGGGGGAGGATGCAGGCAGCCCACTGAAGGACTAAGGGCTCCCTGCCCTACTGCCCCCCACCCAGGGGCCTCCATGGCCCAGCAGGCAGGACACACCACAGGAGGACAGAGTGGGATGTGGAGGCTTCATACTGCCACTGCTGGGAGCCCTATGCCAGCTGTGCTGACATGGCAAGGCACCCCCTTGCCTGCCAGGCACCAGAGCAGGGGCACAATACCATGCCACCACCCCTGCTGCTGCCAGCTGGGCAGGGGGTGCCTCACCGTGGCAGCATGGCTGGTGCAGAGCTCCCAGTGGTGGTGGCAATGGTACCGAGTCTCCTTGCCCTGCTCAACCCTACCATTCGGGTCTTGCCCATTGGGCTGTGGAGGGCCCATGGGGGAAGGCAGCAGGTGGGGAGCCCCGAGCCCCATAACGGGCAGCCAGTATCCTCCCTCTCCACCGTGGGCTCCACTCAGCTCCACTCTGCCCATGCTGCCTGTGGGGGAGGAGAAGCTGAACTCCACACACTGCTCAGACCACAGCAGCATGTGGCAGTCTGGGCTCGGGCACTGCTGACTGGCTGTGGCTGGTGTCCACGGAGCAGGTAGGAGGCAGGCTGGTCTTATAGCCCTGGCAGCTGGGGCCCCCCTCTGGCAGGGCTAGGGGGAGGTGAGGCGGGAGGGGCAATAGCTGAGCTGGTGGGAGTGCGGGGCTGTGGCTTGGGAGTGAGGGGCAACAACATTTGCAGGGGCAGGGCACTAACATATCAGGGCTGCTCGATGCCACAAAGCAGCGTGGGTGACGGCCACACCTGGACCCACGTCTTGGTGAGTGAAGGGGCAGGGGAAGCTCTAATTTTCCCATGATAAAAAAACCAAAATCAAACACCAAAATATATAGGTATTTAGAATTTATGTTATTCTAATGACTGAGGCACTGGTAGGCTTCCACATTGCTTTAAAATTGTAAATATATCAATAAAATATTGTCTTCAGCTGATACCTATATGTGTGTGGGGGGAGGGATTTCAATTTAATTGCAGAAAAATGTGGATTTGGGGTGGAGGAGGTTTATCAGAGAATTCGGGATTTTTAAACAGAGAAGACTAGGATCCCTGGTAACCATTTATCCGAGGCCTTAGTGTCATGTCTGCTTCATGTACAAAGTACAATTATCCCAAAAGATCTGAAAGCACTTTATACGGTAATGTTACGGCATGTCTAACCTTTGGCAACACCATTCTCTGATTGGGTCATGACTGAGCATGCTCTGCCTACCTGTTCATTCTCTCCTAGGCCACACTGGACGTGTCTACATACGCTATTAATACAAAGCAATACATTCTGGAGCTTATTGTGCCAGAGTTTATAGCTCCCAGACAGTCTGTTTGACTATGCACCCTGGACCACAACATGTTGAGCCAGGTTGGAGTAGCTCCAGCTGGCAGGGGATCTGGGTGGTTAGCCTGCCAGCCTGAGGCTGCTCTGACACAGCTCAAAGTACTGCGGAGGAGCTGGCTGAGGCATGAGGGTGTTCCAGTGTGGGGCTAGCTGGCAGGTAGCCTGTGCGCTGAAGCACCCTTGTGGCCCAGGCAGCTGCATCAGTATCTACACAGGTGCTGCTGTGGAGTAAAAACTCCACAGCAGGACAGTATTTGTGTTTACAAGCACTATCTTCCTGTGCAGTTAATTAGTTTACTCCTACCTAATAGCACTGCACATGTAGATGTGAGAAGTTTACTGCAGAGCCAGTCCGTCAACTCCACAGTAAATATCTCATGTAGATGCGCCCACTGAGTACTGCTCTGGTGAGGATGATCTAGGTCTGCTCCTGAGCTCTTGGTCTCTGACATACTTGATAGCTTCTACTGAGGCTGACCCTGGAGTGTCTTTGCTGACATATTTCTGGGTTTGGAGTGTGTAAGAAGGAGCAGGTAGTGAGGTATGCATGGGGTTGGTTGTGCCAATGGGGTATTCTGTTGCCATAGTGTAGACATGCCCTTAAGCACCTAACTCCGCTTTTAGGCAAGTGGATATCTTTATAACTGCTTTGCATGCAGTAGCTCCTGCTCAAGTCAATTCTGAGGTTAAGTGAAGTGCAAATACCCCTCTGGCATACAGCTGAAGTGGAGTAATCAACTTACACACAACCTGTTGCAAATCAATGTGTGCGTGTGTGTGTGTGCGCGCGCGCGCATGCATGTTTGTATACATATGTACATGTGGGTATATATGCATGGTTGTTATCAGCAGTCTTCCAGTAAATGTGGAAGTCATCAGTGAGTCCACAGATGACTGAGGAGGCTGATCCAAGAACCACATGTTTGATTGTAGGTGTGTCATATAGTTCTGGGAGGAAGGAGTAGATCCTGGTTATGCCAGATCACAGCTCTTTCC